TCTAAAAAAATTATCTTTATGCAATTTTCACTGGTACTTTCAATTCTGTTGTGCCAAAAAACGTCAGAAATTTTGTTTTTTAGTTTTTAAGAATTATTTTAGCAGATTATTAGTTTTACGTCGTCACAATAATGTTACCTTGCAGTCATCTTTAGAGTTTACCTCAGCTCCTTTGTAGATCAAATATTTTACTAGACTTAGGCATCCGTTCTGCAATGCCAAATGTAACGGCGTTCTCTAAATAATGTGTTACTATTATTATTCTCCTAAAATTTCAAAGACTGTTGGTAATATACAGCAATATATTTTTTTGTTGTAAAAAATGAAAGAGTATAATTGCTCAATATTGTTGATTTTTATGTCTCAGTTTATAATAATTTAATGTTTACTAGATTTTGATATCGTAATAACATTTTACCCCAAATTCGTCCTTTATATTGGCTTCTGTTCCACGTTCTAGCAAGAGTTTTACTATTTCGATTTGTCCAATTTTGAACGCCGCGAACAAGGCTTCCTTCTAGAATTTACATGAAAAGTTGTTTGAACGCTTAATGTACCGTTTGATAACTTTTGGTGATAGCTATTGGCCCTACAAAACAGATGACAGCGATATCTTTCAGAAAGAATTCATAATTAATAATCCTTGTTTTTTTATCTTTAAATCTTTGTTGAGCAGATTCGCATAGTAGATACGGACCATGCTCTCTTTGGTTACTTCGTTACTGAAAGGGCTTCTTCTATCGAGCAGATTCCTAATACTTGCTACATCGCCTCGCTCTGCATACTGGACAATCATCGGAGTACTATAATACAGCTCCATCTGCAAATAAAGTTGAAAAGAAATTATGCAATTAAATATTATAATACAAATAGTTGTCACAAAAATTTTTATTTTTGACGCTATTAAAACCTATCTCTTTTCTTATAACTTTTTTCTCTACTAAAGTGACAGTAGGTAAGTTAAAAACTTAGAAGAGTCTTTGAGAATTTCAGACTTACTGAAACTATCTATAAATTTTGAGTAGATTAAATGTACTATATATTTAAGACAAAATTTAACTGCAGCAATTTCTTTGTTCAAGCTCCGTTTTCCATTTTCGGCAAAACACTCGTTCCGCTCTAAATTATAAAAAAAATGCTTTTTTTCGACGTAACATTGTTGGTAGCAAATAACAAATGCAAAACTCAAGAGTCTTGGAAGTCCCGAAAGACTGGTTTTTGTAATGACGATTAATTTACAATTTACAGTAACTTGTTAATTTGCAACAACTTGTATGTTCAATTTTTTTTAAGCAACAAGCAATTTTCGATAGTTTTCATTTTCTTCACAGAACGAGGTGTCAGGTATATGCACAAAACAAATGTGTTTATATATGTATAATTAAATAAATAAATAAACAAACGAATAAATAAATAAACAAAAAAATAAACAAAAAAATTGCTAAATAAACAAATAAATAAACAAATATGCCTATTTGAATGGTTAACCACAAGGAAAGAAAGTAATGTAAAGTGAAGTGTCAGAACTTTTATTGGTCGTTTGATAGTGTTAACTATAATCAATTTCTTCAACAAAGTACATTTTTTCGATGTTTAATTGATAAGGCAATACTGCGAAAGGTTAAACTGCAATGATTAAGATTCAATTATTTAGAGGCTTTCTTTTATGAAATTTATTTCGGACGACAATTAAAACTTGGTAAACTTAGAATAGAAAAATTTGAGTTAGACTGTGCGTTCAAGTTCCCTATGTTTGAAGCGTTTTTTTAAGGTTTATTACTAGTCGGTAACTGTTAATCGTGTGAGTGTTAAGCTTCTTTGTTTTCATCTTTTCAACTGATTATATATTCTACAGAACGATGATGACGCAAATTGACTTATGATTTGAGCATTTTAATATTCAATGTTAAAAATTATCTGTGAGAACGCAGCAGTAAAACAGTTCTATACATTAACTTTCGCAATTCCTCTTTTTTTTTTTTTTTTTTTTTTTTTTTTTTTT